TGTGGTTATACTCCGTGCATCATTGTTCCAGTTTAAGTACACGTAATGCCGAACAATAGCATATTTAAATAGGTAGAAAAAAACTATACATAAGTATGTAATCTCTTTGAAGTGTTTTTACTTATTCTGCCTCTGCTAGAACTGAAGGGGACCTTAAGTTCATCCGGTCCAGCTGTTCATTTGATAAGCATGAAATCTTAAGTATGAGTTTCACTTCTGGTCCTGTCCTTTTTCCTTTATACCTTGTCTGCTAGTCCACTGTCACATCTTTTGGACCTGGGTCACTTATATCATTAAGGAAACTTTGTTGACAATATTTCTTTGCTTTGCTCACTTGTCTATCCAGTTAGTATATTTGAGTAAAGGAATGTTTTAGGAAAATTAATCTACACAGTGTGTTTAGTTGTACTGAAAGAATGTGAGCAGTCTGGGAAGATTATCATGATTTGGCTTGCTTAGTCACATTCATCATATATGCTAATAATAATTGTAGCCCCATCTCCATAAATAGTCATGCCATTTCAGAAATTCTTTAAGCCTGTTTCAGAGACCTTGTAAATTTTGAATTAAAATGGAAGTTCTTCAAACTTTAACATTTCTATTATATTGCTGTGAGACCATAGGATTTGTTTTGTGTTTGTTTTTTTCAACCTTATTCAGTAGTGGAGTCCAGATTAGAAATCCATATGACATGACAAAGAAAATCAGATCAGCTTGTCAGGTCCAGGTATTATCTACCCACTTTTGTGGGTCTGATAGTATTAATACTAAATACTGTAGTTGTATTTACTCGGGATGGAAATTTTTTATTTTGTATCTGATCGAGTTTCCCATGTCAGACTTTATTACGTAGGAGTTAAGAAAATATAGTAATTTTGTTTTACTGATATAAATTATGTAACAGAGGAAAGTGCTCCTCCTTATTTATTCTTCTGAGATTATATCCCTTACTTTTCTTTACGTTTTCCTTAATGAAATTATAGAACCAACAAACAAAAATTGTATATACTGTACTCAGTCTTTTCAAACCTCTTCACCCCTGTTTTATGTTGCCATTTGCCTAGAGTGTGTGCCTTTTTCATATTATGAAATTAAAAGGTTATGAATCACTTGCAACAATAAGAACCATTTTGGAATCCATAGTAGACTCGATGATCTGACTATGAATAAAGCAATACACAGTAAATGCCTTGGACCAGTAAGATATTGATTTGCAGTTTGTGCAAGACCAATGTTACCTTATTTTGCACAGACACACGCAAAGTTTAAAAAAGAAGAATGTAATAGACCACGCGTACCTTCTGAGCCTCATGCATAGTAACATTGAGAGTGAATTTACCAAGAACCTACAAACACTGCAATTGCAGATAATCCCTCATTAAGCTGAAAATATGGGATTAGTATTGTATTTCATCATATTCAGTAGAACTTGTGGGATCACAAGTGAGATATAGGTAGTAGAAAGAACCACTGCTCTGGAGCATTAATGTTAGTGAAATGCATTACTTGCTTTGTAAAAGTCACTGAGCATTTGAGTATGTTTCTCAGTAAAATTCAATTATACGAGCATTGTAGTACTTACAACTACCTGAAGTTTAGTAAACTGTACTGTAGAGGGTTTTCTATTTTTGTGGGTATGCAAGGGTCACATACTAGTAAAACAGAATAATAACTGGAAATTCTGTTTCATGATTAACTTCATTTTGTGAGTATTAATTTAAATGTTTCTCAGGTTATCTTTTTTTTATAATGGATGATAATGCTGATTGTTCAATTTTATGATTAGGCTAATGTTCACTAATCAATATGTTTGAGGAATTTTCTGTTTTACTATCTAGTGGGTAGTACAACTATGTAGATTAGACCTTAATGGCAGGTGACAAGCATCTTAAACTAGCCCCTAGGTGAATGAGGAAAGATTGAGTGGAGAGAGTAAATAATAACTCCACTGACCAGAACAGGGGGCCATCAGGAAACATCAGGATCTTCTGTAGCCCCAGGTGGGATGAAAAGGAGTTGTTCTTTGAAGACGGTACCTTCTTCACGCTCTGCCACAGATCTTGTGGGACCAGAATCAGTATTATAAGATCCTCTTCAAGTGTTAATTCACATCTAAGCACCTCCCTGACTTTGGCCTCTCTTCAGGTAAGGAGGAGAGAATATGGGCATTATGACCCTCTCATTCCAGTACCCTATTGCTTATAACTTTAAGCTCTTTAGCTAGTACTCGTGCCTACACGTCCTTAACTTCAGTTGCTCCATTGAGGAGAAGATTTTGTTCTGCCTCCTGTCGTCATTTGGATATGACTTTCTGTTCCTTTTAGTATGTTTCATTCTCAGGGGTGTCACTCGGGAGGTGTATGGGGTGCAGACTGCACCGGGTGATAGTGTCAGAGGGAGTGACACCAAATGACTGTCTATAAAATGTTTGTACAGTGTTTCAGCAGAAATGTATTATTTTTTATAAAAGTATCCCTGTAGTTATAACAACAAAAACATTTTTCGTAAGCTTACGAGTATCAGTATACCTACAAGGCTAAAACTATGCTAATTTACTTTTTGAATGAACCTTCTAATGCGCTCCAGTCAGAGCTGTCATTATTACCCAATTACAATGACGCTTTGATTCACATGATTTCGTCTGAATGTATTACAAGCACGCACTATTGTTTTTGTTGCTGCCAGTGTTTTTATAGTAGCTGATTTTGTCACATTTTCTGGTGTTTTAGCTAAAATATTGTGGTAATTAGTATTTGTGAACCTATATGAATAACTTTTTTAAGAATAAAGTAGTAGTTAAAGGAAAAGGAGAAAAATCAAAAAAGGCTTCTGCTCAGTTACTAATGTTGTAACAGTGTCATTCAGTGTAGAAAGATTTTACAAAACAATTTTGTTAATATTCATAATCTAAAATACTACATTTAAGCAATTTACAACTGTATTACATATTATATGATTAAAATTGATAATAAACATTACTAAGGATTCTGTATGGTCTGGTATGGGAGAGGTCCATGGGAGGGTGACCACCATGAGTTACCTCACTGGATGACACCAACTCTAGTGATACCACTGTTCATCCCTATTCTGTCACGATAAGAAATAGTGTTATTTCAGTACAGTTAGTGGGAAGAATGTTCAAAATGAAAAGGTAGTAAAATTGTTACAAGATAGAGGGAACAAATGTCAAGGAAAATCTGTACATAAAGGTCTTCAGCTAGTCAGTGCTCATTTAAAAAAAAAAAACCTAACTCATTGCTGTCCAGTCAATTCCAACTCACAGCAACCCTGTCGGACAGAGTAGAACTGCCCGCATAGGGTTTCCAAGGTCTGGTGGTACTGTGGTTAAGAGCTCAGCTGCTAACGGAAAGGTTGGTGATTCAAACCCACCAGTCACTCCATGGGAGAAAGATGTGGCAGTCTGCTTCTGTAAAGATTACGGCATTGGAAACCCTATGGGGCAGTTCTACTGTGTTCTACAGGGTTGTTGTGAGTCAGAATCAAGTCGAGGGCAACAGGTTTAGTTTTTGATTAATCTTTACAGAAGCAGATTGCCACATCTTTTCTCCCACGGAGAAGTTAGAACTGCTGACCTTTTGGCTAGAAGCCCAGCGCTTAATCACTGTGCCACTAGGGCGCCTGTCTTAGTTATCTAGTGCTACTATAACAGAAATACCGAGTGGATGGCTTTAACAAAGATAAATTTATTTTCTCACAGTCTGGTAGGCTAGAAGTCCAAATTCAGGGCATTAGCTCCAGAGGAAGGCTTTCTCTCTGTCAGCTCTGGAGGAAAGTCCTTCTTATCCCCTGGGCTAGGAGCTTCTCCGCATGGGAAACCTGGGTCCAAAGGATGCACTCTGCTCCCAGTGCTGCTTTCTTGGTGGTATGAGGTCCCCCTGTCTCTCTGTTCGCTTCTGTCTTTTATATCTCAAAAGAGATTGGCTCAAGACACAGTCCAGTCTTGTAGATTGGGTCCTGCCTCATTAACATAACTGCCACCTATCCCACCTCATTAACATCATAGAGGTAGGATTTACAACACACAGGAAAATCACATCAGATGACAAAATGTTGGACAGTAACACAATACTAGGAATCATGGCCTAGCCAAATTGGTACACATTTTTTGGGGACACAATTTAATCCATGACAGCGCCTTGGTCAGTGCTTTTAGTAATCATAAAAGGAGAGGTGTTTCTTTGCTGATACTTAGGAAGGCAACCTATTGGTTTATTTATTTCATTGAAAGCCAGTTCAGTTAAATTGCCTGTTCAGTTGAATGCTGAAATGTCTGTTAAAAACATACCTGATTTACCAGTCACATATGGACTTGTGCTGTTTTTAGTGGTCAGAGAAAAAGAGTTCCTTCACCTAGTCTAAAAATGGTAAAAACAAGACAAATACCTAAAATAATTATGTATTTTAAATTATAGCTAAGTGGGAACAGCAGAGCAGGGAAGCAATGCTAATTAATTAAGGAACATACTACTGATGCAACAAGGTTTATGTCTTAGAATTAGGTTATGGGGGTACACAGTGACTATGGAACATTGTGCTCTGAGTAAAGAAATTGAAGCAATTATATTTGATAGCTAGGACAGTTTTTAACAGAACTTAAGATCTATTACTAATCCTGCAAATGTCCAATATTCTTTTTTAACTTGCATATTAATGTGTGAAACACTGAAAAACATATAGCAAGGTTGTAAGCATTTTAAAAAGGAGCCCTGGTGGCCCAGTTAGTGTGCTCGGCTAGTAACCAAAAGGTTGGTGCTTTGAACCCACCAGCTGCTCCATGGGAGAAAGTTGTTGCAGTCTGCTTTTAAGATTTACAGCCTTGGAAACCCTATGGGGCAGTTCTGTTCTGTCCTATAGGGTCGCTATGAGTTAGAATAGACTCAACAGCAATTTTTTTTTTTTTTTAAAGCATTTTAAATAAACTGATGGTGTTTCTGTTATACTAAATGAAATTTTCCTTTTTGTTCTATTTTTCCCCCCAGGAGACTCACTGGACATTCTTTCCACATGGGCTATAGCATGGCAATTTTGAATGGCATTGTAGCTGCTCTTACCATAGCATGGTGTCTCATGTAAACCCACACTGGAGCAATATTATTGGAAAAACTTGGTCATGATTGTTTTGTAATAACAGAGAAGATCATCACTGCCTACTCAGAGGACTGATAAACCTGCTGTTCGTATTGGGATTCAGATATGTGTCAGAATTATCACCACTTACGGAGACCTTTTATGCATGGTTCTAGAACCTAGGCATTGGGAATATCTGAGTATTAAGTTTCAAGTATTTTCTTAAAAGTGTAAGATGTTTACCTCATTTTTTTACTTTTGTATGTATAATTATTACAAATTGTAGAAAAAAATGTAATGGAAATCAAACTTGAAAACTTGAATACAAGACAATGCCTACCTTTCCATGTGTATAGTCCATTTCACCTAAGAAATACTGATCTTGCTGTTTAACTGAGAAATGTTTCTTATTTACACATTATATTGGGAAAGCAAACAATGCCTACTAATTTGACATTTTATAGTAGCTACTTTTAATCAGAATATTTAGTTTTCGATATTCATGTATTCACTAGAAGGTGCATTTATATTTTTTATGGGGCATACTTATGTTTTTGGGGTATTTTTGTTTACATAGTTTCCTATTACAAACTGAATTTATATGTTTTTAAAATTACTCATGTAGACAAATGTAAACGCTATTTTTTAGCTGGTGCAAACTTAATACCTGCATTTTTTACAAGTATTTTGTCTTTTTAAAAAAACAAAAAAGCACACTGATCTGAGTTTAAAATCAAGTAAGCTTATTTCTAAGAAGAAATGACTGAAAAAGGTAAATTATTTAAGTCATTAAATTATTGAGGAAGTTGAAGCTGTTCACTATTTCTGTTTCCATAATTCCAAGTATTTATCTTGGTGTGCATATGGTTACTTCAACAGAAGTTATATTATTTTGTTTTTAATAAATATAAACCTGAAATTTTTATATGTAGAAATGCTTGAACTAGTTTTTTTGTTTTAATCTCAAAAATTTAGTTACCAAAGGAGAAGAAGTATTTTGGTATACACACACATACACACACGACAGCGCACACACACCATATTTTTATGCAAATAACATGCACTTTGTACATTTGTTTGCCAACTGTGCCTGCCCCCCATGAGGTATTTTCATCAGTGACACTATGCCTTTTTTTTTTTTTTAACATGTCGCTGTAAAAAAAAATCAGCAAGCTAATGAAAATGCCTTGCAGGGGAGGGCGTGGTTGGCAAGCAAACATAGGTGCGTGTTATTTGCGTAAAAATACTGTGTGTGTGTGTATATATATATATATATATGCATATATGTATGTATATGTATATAGTTTTATAATTTTTCTATTTAATGATCTATAACCATGGTGTTAGTTTTTATTTTCACAGTAATTTAGTCTTAATTGTTCCAACACTCTTACTAAATAACTTTATTTAGGTGTTTAGAAAATCACCTCAGTTTTAGAAAGATAGACTTTTTACCCAACTTTTCCCTGGCCATAGACAAACATATTAGGAAGGCATTGTGTAGCCAAACTGCTTATTTAAGCTAAGTGAGAAAAGAGTATGTGCAGTGTATTCCCCTGTTATCCACTGAGTGTTGGTACTCAGTAAATGATTTAATGAGCTTTCTAAAAGCCTAACACTTTTTTATTATTAAAAAATCTTTAGTTAGAAATGACAACTGCTGCTCCAATTTAAGTTAAATTATCTGGAGAGTTTAGACTAATACACACACAAATACCAATCCCACAGCTTAAGCATTCCTTAATAGTTAAGAATGGTTCTTGCAATGAATCTTTTCACACACAGACACACCAACTCTAAAACACTCTTCTACTGTAAAATAACAAAATCAGTTTTTCTTCTTTCCATCAATCCAAGCCCATATTTGGATAGCTCCTTCTAAAGTCTTTGTGTCTAATGACTAAGAAATATAGTAGAACCTCTATATGTACATATACCCGTTGCTGTCAAGTCGATTCCGACTCATAGCAACCCTGTGGGGCAGAGTAGAACTGCCCTATAGGGTTTCCAAGGAGCGCCTGGTGGATTCAAACTGCCGATCTTTTGGTTAGCAGCCATAGCACTTAACCACTGTGCCACCAGGGCTCCATAAGATATTATAGTAACCCTATTTCTTCTGGACTAGCACTCCCCTCCTTTGGGAAATTTCTCCCCTGAACCATCCTACTTCCATAAGCAGAGTGACTAAGGATAGGTACCTAATCCAAGCTGGGCCAGTCCTAGTTTCACATCTCATACGTATATATATATATATATATATATAAAAGTCACAGTGATTGAAACAGAAATAAAGACATGACAAGTCAGGCCAGTCTCATAATTTTTCAGCTTGAAATTAAGAGATGAGATGATTTAAAGCTGGGAAGCTACAAGCCCAGGAGGTGGCGGCAGCCATCCTTCTAACAAGCTCAGTAGGAAAGAATAAGGCTGACATGCACACTACTAATGACATTCCTTTGGTCCCTGAAGCCCAGTGGTGTCCCTGCCATTCTTGAGATTTGATTACATGAGCCAATAAATTCCCCTTTTAACCTATGCTGTTCACATTGGCTTTTGTCATTTGCAACAAAAGGTGTCAAGATGAGTTTGCCCAGCAGCTGGAATCCATCTCTATTATGATTCTAACTCAGATGATCTCATCTCTTTATGTGTGTAGCTTACAACTTATCTGTTGTAATATTCCATTCAGTTACTTGTGAAGGATACAGCAGGTATAAATGTGCCTGTGGCTAATAATTAGTCTCAGTAACCTCAAAAAAGTTTGGAGTAAACTAAAACCAGTTGTTAAATCTACATGCTGTTTCGTCACGAATTTGTTATTTATGTTCCCAAATTCAATTCTACCTTAAGAGTTAACAGAATATTACTTTAGTTATGTAAGATATAATGAATCTTTAGTTACATGAGTAGTGTTACTTAATAATTTAATGTTTCTTTAGTTTCCTGACAGTTAAAATACTTCGATTTGAACTACAATGAAAACACTACCTGTCAAAATGTGTAGGACCTAGATAAAACACTACATAAAGGGTATTTATAACTTCAAATACATTTATCAGGACACACGGAAAGAATGAAAACAAATGAGCTAAGAATGCAAAACAAAAATTAGCAAAAGCAGCAGAGTAAACCCAAAATATAAGAAAAATGGAACTCGGAAAGATAAGGGCACAATCAATGGAGACCAACACCACCAAAAATTAGAGACAATAACCAGTAACAAAAGTTGGTGCTTTGAAAAGATAAGATAGACTTACAGTAAAACATTAAAAGTTTTTTTGTTTTCCCATTTTTGCCCATTTTTTTTGCCCATATTTTCAGTCCTTGATTGCAAGCAACAGAAACCATCTAAACTATCTTAAAAGGAAATTTTGGAGAAGATATGTAGTGGCTCTCAGAACAGGTGTGGTGTGTAGGAATCAAGAAAGTGCCAGAGGAGACTCCGGCAAGATGGCGGTCTAGGCAGAAGCACCACGCCGTCCCTCCACAACAAAGATCCGAAAAACTAAGCCAAACAGAGAATCAACAATCCTGAAACC